CGTTCATTGGCACTATGCATTCATCATTCAATATCCAAACTCCCATCAAATATTGGATTTTTATTGGCAGAAATACCAAGTTTGTTTCGTCATAGCGAATTACGAAGAGATGATTCAAGGAATTATTTGCAGCTACGAACACTTCTCTAGATCTTCAACAAACTAGAACTGCACCACTTCCATTTGAAAAACCTTCATTCACTCGGTGGCTTGTGAGTGGAAAGGTAATGTTTAATATTCTCATGAACTGGGAAGAATTAAGAAAGATGGACTCCCTTTAGACACAGAACAATTTTGGATTGGTGTGCTTCAGCGTCATGAATTTAGAGCTTGCAAGCTTTGCCCTTATTTGTCTGATAACCCCTATCAGCAATGCTGTAGTTTAAAGGGTATTTTCTCTGTGAAAACGAAGGCAAGAAACAGAATGCAGCTAAATCTTTTTGATGCGATTGCAGTGGCGTGCCGTGACATTTGATGATAGGGAAGCTGTGTGTCTGTAAGAAACCGACTTCCAGGGGCAATCAGTTAATTGCACGTCAGTGATGGTCTAGGGCAGGGGTGGCCAACAGTTTTTGCCCCGGGCCGAATTAGAAACTGTCTTAGGAAGATTTTGAGGTGGTGCGAAATCTCATTGTGGTGTCACCCCGTAGAGACTGAATTGTAGATAGAGATTACACCAGTGTTTTTCAACTTTTTCATTGAGTTTCACACCTAATTGAAAAATAACAAATCGTGACACCCTTGACCAGGATCTAGAATCTGAAAAGGGGGGACTAATGGGACAGATGAATTTTTTGCGAAAACGAATATTACGCGCAACGCAGAAATGTTTCTACGTGTTCAAAATCAAAATTTAAGTTCATTGAATTTTGTCGAAATACCTACATGTAAAATAATAGTCTCGCTATTGTTTTTTAAATATAGTTTTATTATCAAATATATCATCATTTTATATTATCATTTTATTGATAAACAATTTTTGTTACGTTTTTTTATACTATTTTGATGCATATATAAAATAAATATTTCATTATTTTTTTCTT